GAAACACTTGTAGCTAAGGGGTAATGGGGTTGCAAATTGAGTGAGGGTAGGGGGTGCACATAATTATTTCACTTGGTGCAGGAAAAAGCACCTGAAAATTTTTGTACCTGCTCGTGACGAAACACTATTTCAACAACCAACAAACAAGGCATGGAAGGCACACCTAACAATGACAAAGAATAAATGTGAAAAACTTACACAAAACATCATAGTCAAAGGAAAAGGACTAAAAGTTTTCCCTCTAAGATCAGTACCAATAACAAAATATGCAAAACTAAATTAGATTTCTCATAACAATCCAAAACAGTTAAGAACTCAATTTCTTAACAATGTAATCCAAAGTAATGTAACACTAAAAAAAAAAAAAACAAAGGAAATGGAAGAATTATACTTTAAAAACTATAAGCCATTGCCAAAAGAAATTAAAAGACACAAAAAAGTGGGAATCTATCCCATGTTCATGGACTATTTTAGCTTAAAATTGCTAAGATGTTCACTTCACTCAGAGTGATCTACAGATGGAATGAAATCCCTACTAAATCCGCAATAATGGTTTTGCAAAAATGGAAAGATCCATTTGGAAGTTCATACTGAATCTCAAGAAACTCCAAGTTAGTCAAAACAATTTGGAAACAAGTAAAGCAGAATATCATATAGTTCCTGATTTTGAAATTTGTTGTAAAGCTACAGTAAAAACAAGACAAAAAATACTGTGTCACAACCATAAAGACAAATATATAAAACATTGGACTATGTAATATGGGTACAGAACTACATCCTTACATGTTTGCTAAATGATTTTTGTTAAGAACTCCAAGATGGGGGCTGGGGATTTAGCTCAGCGGCAAAAAAGCGCCTGCCTGGCAAGTGCAAGGTCGTGAGTTTGGTTCCCGGTACCGGAGAAAAACCAAAAAAAAAAAAAAAGAACTCCAAGATGTGAATGTCTTTAAGAAAAAACAAACAAATTAAATTGTACACTTACTTAACATCACATACAAACACTTGCTGAAAATGGATGTAAGACCTATAAGTAAGAGTCAAAATTATAAACATAGAAGAAAGTACTAGGAGAAATATCAGTAACACTGAATTTGAAAATAATTTGTCAGATATGAAACAAAAGGTACAGATATTGGATGAAAAATAGACCAACCTGATTTAATCAAAAGTAAAAACTTCTGGGTACCCATGGACAATATATCAGTGAAGCGGCAACTTATATGTTTGGAGAAAATGTTTATGAATCAAATATCTGACAAGAGATAACTACACAAAATGTATAAAGAATTCTTGCAACTCTACCCCAAGAAACAATCAACTTAATAGGAAATGAACAAAGGATATGAGTAGATATTTACCAAAAGAAGATATACAAATAGACAGTAAGTACCTAAGACAACGCTCAACTTACTTAACAAGGAGATGTATTTGAAAATGACTATGAGATCCAATCTCACATGAATTTGTACATGTATTATCAAAAATAGATAAAATAAGAGATTCAGCATGGAATGTTGAGAAACTGGAATATTTATAAAGTGGCAGAGGTACTGTGCAAAATATTATGGTGGTTCGGGAAAAAATAGGAGTTACTGTTTCATTCAAAAATTTCCCTTTTGGACCTGTGCAGAAAGACCTGAAAGTTGAGACTCAAACAGGTATGTGTGCTCGTTCCAAATTTAATCAAAAAGTTAAAACAACACAAATTCCACTACTGGGAGAATGAATAAACCAAATGTAATATCCGTACAGTGACATATTAATTTGCTTTAAAAAAGAATGAAGCTCTGATACATGCTTTAACATGTATAAACCTTGAAAACATCATGCTAAGTAAAATAACACAGAGAGGAAAGATCAAATATTTCATTGTTAATCTCTATTCAAGATATAGAGGAAAAAGTATAATACTGGATATCAGGAATTGAGAGGACATGGGGCATTTTTAGTTATTAAGTACAGTGTTCAGTATGAAATGACACAAATTCCAGAAAGAGATGGTGGTGGGTATATAACAGTGAGAATGCACTATACCACTGAATTGTATACTTCAAATTGGGTAAAATAGTAAATTCTGTTGTGTATAATTCATCTTAATTAAAAATCTCAGCTGACAAGTTTGGTTGTATTTTGGACTATCTATATTTCACTGATACACGTTTGTATTTATGAAATCACAAAGTTTATTATTAGAACCTTATAGTAAACTCTGAAATCAAGAAACAAACACTGCAATATTGTTTTCACCATCAGGATAGCTTTGGCTACTATCAATCCTTTGAATTTCTACCTGAATTTTATAAACCACTTGTACATATCTGTATGAGAGTTTTCACTGGCTTTGGTTTTTGAGGAGATATAACAACTCATCCATGTTTAAACTTCTATTAATAATCATGTTCTTTTTCTCCATTTATTTGTTTATTTCATTTAATTTCCTTCATCATGGTTTTGTAATTTTCAGGATAGATACTGTATACATCTTCTGTTAAATTTATCCCTAAATGTTATAATTTTGATGAATTGTAAATTTTTAAATTTCATTTTTAAAGTTCTTATTGCTAGTTATAGAAACTGTAATATTGTGTTTATTTCCAGCAACTCTGCTCAATTTGTGTTAACCTGCTTTTCATGAATTTTTGGGAGTTTATCTGCTTACTTGATAAAACCTAGAAATAACATATTATCTGTTCCTTTACAATTGCTATGCTGTTTGTGTTCATTTCCTGAATTGCTGTACAAGCTAGAACATCCGAAAGAATGTTGAGTAGAAGAGGTACAGGTGTTGACCTCTAATTTGTTTCACCCTTGGAAAGAATGTTCAGTGTTAACTATAAAGTTATTCATAAGTGCTTGTTGTCACATAAATATGATTTATGTTTTGTTGAAAGTGCTTCTTATTTATAGGTGTTGAATATTATCAAATGCTTTTCTTGCATTTGTTGACATTGCCCTGAAAAATTTCCTCATAATTCTATTTGTGTTCTCAGTATGCTGAGGTTTATTTCTTCACACAATTTATCTTTAAGAGTGGGTCTATGTGTTTTATCTATTTTCCTTGAAAAGTTTGAAATCAATACTATTATTTTGTGCTGGAAGAATGAAATGTACAATTATATCTAATGCATGATCTAAGGCATGTGTGATATATTTATTCCAGAGCATTGTGTGAATCATACTTGTCCTCTGAAAAGAGAGAGAAAGAGAGAGAGAAAGAGAGAGAGAAAGAGAGAGAAAGAGAGAAAGAGAGAAGAAATGGACTGCTATTCTGCTATTAACCAAGGAGAAGAAAGGGCAATCCAATGGGAACATTTTAATCAGCCTTGACATCCAAGCCCATGATTCAGGATGATTTAAATGGCCTGTGACAAAAGAATAGTTCACAGTCTGCAAAATGCCCATTAGCTTTCATTAGCGAGGGTCCACTGATTTAGGGCCCTGTGTGACTCCCACTGGATGTCATGAAGAAGTGATGTGAAAACTCCAGTTCAGCATTATTCACCGCCAACTCAACACTGCAAGGTAAGTCTGTTAGCAGGGAACAAATTAAACCTCCATGCTAAATGGCTGCAGATATCTAGGGGAACACAAGAGCCGAGCATTCAATATGTTCCATAATTATTTTTCTGAGATCACATATGGCTACATTACTGCAATGATGCATTTAATGATATTACATGACAAACAGTAAACTCTAGAATTTACTCTGTTTATGATAAAATCTTTTCATTGAATTAAATCTAATCTCACCTAAGGAAGTTCTCCACAGCTGTGCTTCCACCATATTAAGTACACCATCAATTTTGTGCAGAAATTCATGGCTCTTTAGGAGGCTAGATGAACACCAGTGTGATGTATCCATAGGTTAGCTCATTGGAGAAAGGAATGCTAAAGAGGCATAATTCTGTTATGGTGGTCCATAGAACCTTTTTGGTGCAATTCCAGGGAAAAATCATTCACACTAAATCCAGCATCGACTACCTAAAGCTTTTTGCTTTGCTAATACAGGGAGATGGGCTCCACTTTTGTATCATATCAAAGATAAGACTAAGGGGGATCTTCACACAGTGTTCTTAGCCAGTCTTGTTATATATAGGCAGCTAAGTCAGATACAATGGTATAGGCAGTCAGATAGGGCTAGGCCCTCAAAGGAGCAGTGCAGAAGATGAGATACCTTGCAACTGTGGGAGAGACAGACACCTCCAGTTGTGGGCCAGACCTCAAGACAAAAGATGAAATAAATGCACCCACACACTTCCTAAGGATAAACATCAAGGATTGATATTCTAAATAGGTATCCATCACCTTGAAAAAGCCAGGAAGAGTCACTAACCCAACTCCCTTCAGGAAAAGCCCCTGTTTTGTATTCCTGCCTGCTTTCTGCATGACTTGCTTCCCCACTTGACCCCGATTTAATTCACTTTACCTGAGCAATTACCATAGTTCTGCCCCATTTCATGCCCACCTTACAATTTTCCATTCTTCCCACCTTGGACCTGCCTCATGTCATGGAATTGCTCTATAAAATCCCTGAGGAAGGCAATTTCCTGAGCAACCCACTTGGGCCCACTTCTGTCTCTCTCTCAGACAGAAGTTTTCTTCCCCCCAATAAATATACTCTGCTCTTAACCTCCACTGTTCCTAAAACTCATTCTTCAATTTTAGAGAACATGAACTTGTGCTGGACATCTAGCAGGTTGCAAGTTTCTGTTTCTTATATCATTTTGTGTAAACAAATGGCATGCACTCTCCTATAACCAGAAAACGCAAGTGTCAGTTTGTTTCATAACAGTTAAGTGTCCCCGGACAGCATGGTGGATTTAGGCTCTAAAGGTGGACCCAGGTAGGTCTTCACACTGGGCTATGGCTTCCTGAGCTATGTGAACAAGACCTACACCCAGGAACATGGATTGGGCTTTGAAAGTAGAACATATGAAGTGTTTTCTGCAAATAAACATTTTTATTAACAAAAAATGTCAACAGAAGGAAAAGCTACTTACACCAGAATAGAAAGGCTCACCAGACACGCATATCACATCCTGCTCCTGGATGATCAGAATGTCTTTGGCTAGGTGCAGCCGGACTTTGAAAGGCTCCTGATTACCATCCTGCAGCAAACAAATCCCTGTCTTTGTCTTCAGACAAAAAAAAGCAAAACAGAAAAAAAGGTGTTCTTAGTTTATACTCTCATGGCCTGTTGACAGTAAAGCATGACACATAATGTTCTAGAGCTAAGGAAAATGTGCTAAACTGGGTCTGAGTGTAACAATACAGTGTAGAGAAAAAACATGAACATTCTAAGCAAACTAAGTCTTCCAAGAATGCATATGATGCTGAAAAAATCCACACAGATTTGGAGAGTAGAATTACAGAAGAAATACTGTACTGCATTTGAAAAATAATGAAAATTTGGTTTCATAGTTATGATCTAAATAAAAAATAATAGCTTTATTGACATACAATTCACATTCTGTACTATTAAGTCTCTCAAATGTGTAGTTCATGTGTTTCTAGAATATTTAGAAGTGTGTGCCCATTACTCTAAAGTTCGAGAACTTTTTCATCACTCCCCCAAATACCCACAAACCCCCATGTCTTTCTTCTCCCTTTACATGTCCCAGCTTAGCCAGGAACTAATGTACTTTCTGTTCCTACTATAAAAATTGAGAGAAGGGGAAGGAGGGCAGAGTGAGGAAGAGGACATAGAAGGAATGAAGTTGCATATGCACGTGTACCAAATCTGCGTGATGGATGTGATCATTACCTACTGCAAACATGTACCAACACAAGCAAAAGTAAAAAGTTTAAAACTGGTAACCTACCTTCCACTATTTGGTCACTCCTAGTTGTCTATACACACATGTTTATACAGAAACACACTCTCACGTCCACACACAAACACACATATGCACAAACTTTATAGACATGAGAGGATGTGGATACAAGTTAAATGAACTACTATATTAGTACAGTGAAGAAAAGAAAACCAGCTGGGTGCGGTGGTGCATGCCTGTAATCCCAGCACTTGGGAGACTGAGGCAGGAGGACTGTCATGAGTTCAAGAAGACAGCCTGAGCTACAAAGTGATCTCAAGGCCAGCCTGAACTGCATTGCAAGACCCTGCCTCAAAAAGACAAAAGCAAAAACAAAAACAACCAACAAAACCTGAAAAGCAGAGCATAATTTAAATTCTCAATTTTTCTTTTACTCCTAAACCTGTTTTTATTCATATATATTAGGGAACTGTGCAAGCAGATGTGTACAATTTCTGGATTTTTACTATAGGCCTTAAATTATCACCTCGATCATCACTGAAGTCTGGGAAGCTTGTAACTTTCAAACCATATTGGTGCTTTAACCCTCACCCTGAGGAAAACATTCGCCCTAGTATGTGCGTTTAACTTTCCCCCTTGTCACTGATAAAAATGGAAATTCCTTTGAGATAGAATATCATCTCAGGCTGTCTTTCTAAACCCCCCAAAATCAGCAGCAATAACTACTTTAGAAATGACATTTTCATGTGATAATTACTGAAATGTTCTTAAGTAGATGGACAGATAGATTGTGATATATCTTCATCCATAACATTTAAGGACTGCAGTGTCCCGGACAAATGATACCAAGCTTTCTCCTAGAGTATAATTTTCCATGGAGATTACCCCTAGTTTGTTTCTTTAGAAGAATTTTCTGTAATGCTGGTAAAAATATATTTAGATACTGCAATTTTCAAAGATCAGTCTGTAAACTGATTTATCCATGTGCCAATATGTACCATATCACCCTGTATCACATATAATCATATACTAGTCTGAAGTCATTTTGTAAGAGTTATGACTTTCTTTTAGGAAAAAATAGAAGCTTCTTTAAGTGCAAAGACAGCATTCTTACTTCATCCCTGGCAGCAGCACACAGCAGGTGCTCACTAAATCATGCCAGCTAATCTAGTCTAAAATGTAATTCAAGTGGATATGTCTAGTAGAAAAATACTTCAGCACAAGAAAATTAGACTTTCTTTACTATAAAACATGATTTTTGTACATTTTCACAGGAAAAGTATCTCATGCTCTTGTGTGATCTTGGTGGTGCAGACATGCAGGCACTCCAAGCATTTGCGGAGTGAAGATGTAAAATCATACATCAAAGCTAGGTGAAGGTAGCTGAACACAGTTGATTTTTCAGTGTACAGTGCATTTGAGCCCATCCCCCACCCAGCTGTCACAAATATTGCTATTTCAACTTCAGGATGACAGAGGGGCTTTTTCCTGAGAGCCCAGAAGTGCACTATTGTTACACATCAAAGAGATACAGATCATCCAGAGAAAGGTTAAGAACTCAGGCACATCCATAAGGGCTCTCTCAGCTCATTTCCAGCATGGACAAAGCCAGCATTGACTCAAGTGATGCGTCAAATGTCCTCAAATTACTGGATAGTTGTCTAGAAAACAGAACACAGTTCACTTTTGGGCCCCAAAGGGACAAAATTTACAAAAAATGAAGAATAAGATAGATTTTTGTTAGAGTGAAGCCCCATCCCCAGCCCCTGAAAATAACTGCTTGGAGCAAACAGGAAGATCTTGGGACAAACTGACCTTAAAACACATAAATTTTTTTCAAAGCTTATAGGATTATATATTTCTACCATGAGGTCTCAGCCAGAGCACATGAAAATGCATTCAGTCTCATACATGCGTTCCTTTTACAAATATCACATAACATGCACAGAAAATCAGATATGAAGCAGGCAACAGTTGTTGACCTGAAAATCTTCCTACTTATTTGGAAAGTACCAGTGTAAATGAGATGTAATGCGATATCTGGTAGGAGAACATTGAGGAGTTAAGCATTAAATATTCTTGTAGAGAAGGAGATTTCAAAGAGGATCAGCGGGTACAAAATATGTGCGGTTTGTCTCAAAAAATAAATTGGGGAAGTGATGAGCAGAGAAGACAAGGAGGCAGGAAGACTGCAGCAGAAGGAAAAAGGTATCTTTAGGCAGAGATTGTGTGGCCCAGCAGAGACTGTGGAACGAGATGCTTTGGAAGAGGAGGAAGTGGGTCCAGGTCCGTGAATGACGTGGCAGGGGTTTGAAAGAACAGAAGTGCTCCAGCCGAATGTGACTGTAAAATAATATGCTCACATTTAGGCATTCTAATTCCGTTTCTTACAGGAGAGGAAAAGCAATTGAGGAGATTGGAAGGTGAACAGATAGTGTCCGCGGAAGTTGAGACTTTGGCTGGAGAATGCTGGGGACTGGTGAACAGCTCCGTTAGAGCCAGAGTCCCTCGGGGAGATGAAAGAAGATAAAAAATAAATAAGTTTCCAGGCTGAGTGGTGAGGAGGAGCCATGTGGCTTGATGGGGATCCTCATGAATGAAATGCTGTGCATCCTTTTATCTGTTTATTATTAACAAACACTGAGCCTGTGCCAAAGAATATTAATCACTGCGCTCTCTCAAGCCCTGTGCAAGTGAGGCACTTTCACCGAGGACAGCAGCCGGGGCTGAGAAGCAGCAGGTCCAGGCTGGATCCAGACTGTTGGGCTCCTTGTGTTCTTTACTATTTGCTTTGGTTTCTCTCCCACAGAGATGGCCCGTGGGAGCCTTCCCCAACCACCCTACAATCAGTGATGTGGTCGTTACCATCCCAGTGGGGCTCGTGTTGTATCTCAGTAATAGGACGCTGCCTTACCATGTGCAAGCGCTTAGGTTTGATCCGCAGGAGTATAGAACAGCCCCAAATTAACAATAACATAAATAATGGAAACAAAAGGAATCCAAATTTAGTGTGACTATTTCTGAAAAGCACCTCGTCTGGAACCAGCTGTTCATTAGGAGGAAAGAAATGAGTAATGGACCACTTTTGGAGTAATAAACAATTCTCCTCTAAAACCATGCCACTTGGGGTCGTAGCACACTGCCTGGAGTGGGCACAGATTCGGTCTCCAGTCCTCGTTTGCTCTGTGTAATCTACGGCAACCTCAGGGGCCAAGTTTTTGAAACACCAATGATACAAAGTGTTTAAAAATTAAAAGTTACCTATATAATTACTGACCCTCAATTTTAGGATAAATATAAACCATCTACTGATTTTTATTTTTCATTTATTTAATAATTAACAATTATTTATTTCTAAATCTTGTCACTTATGCATGCATCACACGTAAGTGGAGAAATGCATGTAATTCATATAAAGTACTAATTGATTATAAACCACGCATAAAAGTTAACATTTTAAAGATGATTCATAAAAAGAACACAAGTCAAATATTGTTTTTTTGTGCCTGATGAATGTATCACTTAGATTTTCTAAATTCCACACTGGAGACCATTTGCATGAAGGAATTAATAAAAAATGACATTTGTTAATTACTTAAAAGGCACTATTCTTTAAACCTTACTCATTGGCTGGGTATTTTTCAAATCAATGAAAAATAGTTATGAATTTGCAGGGATTTATGCTTTGTTGCATAATCAAATCTTATATTTAAACTTTTAAAGAATTGAACTTATTATCTGGTTTGGAACTTTTAAAAGGTAAGCTGTCATCTGTCTATGTCCTGCTTAGAAGTTAAGAGCTTTTGAAGTTATGTTCTAATATTTTAATCAAAAATTGAAAGGGAGTTGTCACGAAACTCACTTGCTTTTCTATGTTTTTTGATTAGCAATCTCTTTATTCATAGATTTTCACTGACATACCAAAATAGGTACCCTTCTACAGCCGCCATGACAGGCTCCATCTATCCTGTCCAACACTGGGTTGGCCCACAGGTGGTTTGATTGTGTTTCTTGTTTAGAGAGACATTTGCCCTAACAGATCATCAAATCATTATTTCCCTTCTTCGCACAGCCAAGAGGATTGTCCCTCACCAGATTTTGTAGGGTAGGGGACAAACATTTCCCTTCATCTTCCTCCTTTCTCCTTTTGGGTCTCCACAGCATCTTGAAACTTTTTCTTAGCGTAAGTTTGCAGTACATAATGAATGTATTCACTGTGGGTAGTTGGTACTTTTGAAATAGAGAATTTACAAGATCAAACATAATAAACTAGGCAGAAACTGCAATATAAATTGCAAATACGCTTGCAGGTATTTCTGTATTTTGGTTGTCAAACACAATTCCTTTTGTAAGCCTGTAATCTTAAGCAATTTGCAATTTATTATGCTGAACCTTATTGTAGCTGTAGTATGCTATTATTTCAGATCAGGTGCCTCAAACTCTGTTTTATCATTTACCTTCCCCTTACTGGATTACTTCCAATCTTGCCTTTTATCTCATCTAAATTCTAGCCATGTGTTGATTCCTGGTACAAGATTCCTTGTTATTTGAAGCCTTCTGAAACCACCCTATCTGAGGACGATTCCTCATTTTTATCAACTACAGGCTTTTGTTAAAGAATATTCAACTCCAAAACATATTAGTAATACATTTTGACATCCCATGTTATGATTTCAGTGATATTTGTTTATAACACATTATTTATTTTTATTTCAAGATATTTTAATGATTAGTTATTACACTTTTCCTTACTGAGGATAATTAATCTGTATGACCCAGCAGAGCAGTTTATTCATAGTGCAGTTTCTTTTGGCATTTGTTGTTTATATTAGGGCTCAGAAAATCATGCCCCATGGACTGGTGCTTGGAAGGTGCCACAGATTCCAGGTCTCTCGCCCTTTCTTTGAGATTCCTCTCTTGAAGCAGGGGATAGGCATTTGCAGACTTATTGCATCTCCCTGACTGGGTTATCAAAACAGGAAAACTACTGCCTCTGTCTTCTTCCTGAAATCTTATTCACCAGGAAGACTAACTCAAGTTGCAAAAAGAGAACTGAATCCAAACACCATGGTGAGATGCAGGGTAACTGTCCAGTCAGTGTCGGTCCTCTGGGCCCACTCATCCACCCACAGCACAATTTCCTAGCCCTCTCAAATCGTCTGCACGCTACTTTCCTCTCCCCATTGAGATTTAAGCTTTAGCTGCCTATCCTTCGCTTGAAGTTTCATACATAGTACATGGATACTGTCTTTCTGCACATTAATTAATTTGTGTGCTGTTTCCTGTTAATCTGTCTATAGCCGGCTTATTTCATAGACTGAAACTATTGCAGTTTCAGTGGGAACATATTAACTTCTCCACAGCTGGAATGCAATATTGATTATATTTCATTATAGAAAGGGCTGAATTAAAGTACAAGTATGTACTAATTATTAAAATAGTAAATAAACCACAGACGTCAGCAGTACACCTATTCCAGTGATCTTTATATATACATATAAATTTTGTTTTTCATTTTAAAGAGAAAAGAAAAAACCCAGAATAACAAAAACACATACACAAAACATCATAGAAAACAATAAAAATGATACAGCATTTCAAAACAAGATGATAGGCTATTAACATTGGTTGTTATATTACATTAATTGCTATCATTTTGTTTTGAGGTCATCTATCATTTTTGTTGTTTTTGTGTTGTTTTGTTTCTGTCTTCACAGTTGTTGTTTTGTTAGTTTTCTCTTTAAAATAAAATAGTAAATAGTCATATCTTGCTTGGGAAAGAGGACAAGTTCTGAGAAATGCATTTTTAGGTAATTTTATTACATGAACATCACAGTACAATTACAATAGGATGCCTGGGATGTCACTAGATGATGTAATCTATCATTTACTGAAATGCTGGTAGTGCAAGACTTTATATTAAAAGAATTACATAGTATTTTTACAATCAACATAAAGACGTGCCTTATAAAGAGTGTAAATTTGAAAATGAAATAGGAAGAAAAGCTAGAGTAATGAAAACATATTGGCTTATATGAACACATACATTAATTTAATGACACTTTTTAAAAGCAGATATAATCATAGTAGTGTCTGGTTTTGTCTAAAATTTTCCCTCTGGATTTTACATTTTCTCCATATAGTATTTTCTGTAAGTTTCTATCTTCATTTTCCCTTACATCTAGACTTATAAAAGTCAATTCTTTAATGAATTGCAATCTTTATGTTCAAAAATTTAAATATTGCAACCAATAAATATTTCTTTTAAAAAGTCTATGCATTGAATAGTTAAGGTGCTTTCAAAAGGAAATTATCTGGTCAGGGTTCTTCTCCTTTTTACTAAGATGAAACTTCCTGGCATGTGTAGGGTATAGTCTACCTTGAACTGATGGGAATTTATATCAGATTTTCATCTTTATTCCTTAGTAACAGTCAAAAGGAAAAGAAATTATATTGAATGTATCTTGCACTTTGATATGATTTCCAGAAATGTAGTACTGTAAAAAGAGGTTTAAGCTTATTACTAGGAGTTTGATCTGGACATTATACCTTTACTTCTCAACAATTAATTAAACAGCCCATGACATTTCATAAAACCTCTCAATTTCCTCATGGCAAAATGACAGTCATACTAAATTTTCTTTATGGTTTCTGTCCACTTAAATCTTCAGCCACTATAAATATCAGGCAAACTCCGATTCTGTGTGATTTGACCATATGCACAGCATCTGGCATCCTGCCAACTGGCCACTGGGTGGCAGACATGCAAGCATTGTGCTGAGGAGTTTGGGACCGGTTTACTCCTGCTGTGTACAGAATGTAAATGACAAAAATTCCTAAGGAACTTGTTACAAGAGGAAAAGAGTCTTCTACCAGGAAGCAGTCCTAAGACGATCACGATGGTATCCCCATTCTAAATCTATTAAAACATGTTATGGTTTGTATCTGTGTGTCCCCTCAAAGCCTCATGTGGTCATGGGGCAGGCTTTCAGAGTTTGACTGATTTTGGGTGTGAGAGCTACACCGCCCCGGGTGGATAATTTGCATATATAAGGGAGAGGAAGAGGCTACTTGCCGCCATTCCTCCCTTTTTAGTGCTTGTTGCTTTTGCTGTGTTCTGCTGCCATGAGCTGTAGCCCTCTGCCATGTGCCACTCTGCCTTATAACCTGCCAAGTATGGACTGAAACCTTCACAAACTGTAAGCACAATAAATCTTTCCTTCGTTACTTTGGGGCATCAGGTATTTTGTCCCAGAAACGAGAGAAAAGTAACCAAGACAAACCATAAGGAGAATCTTCTAGATATCCTGACTCAACATATCAAACCAACTTTAAAAAGAGACCTAGAACAGCTTATGTCAGCCTCTGAAGTCTAAAATAAGTTTTGTTATAATAAAATTTAACCACTATAATCTTACATGGGTGTCACATGAGTCTCATGCACACAAATATTCACAGAATGAGTGCTATGCTGTTCAAAAGAAGACAGCATTGTGATAGAAATAGAACACTTGGTACATTCAAAATTGAGTATCTAAGTAAAACTAGGTAAGACAATTAAAATTCAAGCTTAGAATAATGTGCAAATTCTCTAAAATATTAGTTCAATTGAGAAAAAAGAACTGCAAAATGTTGAGATAATACAATGCATGAATTATATACTTTGACCCTATAGTATTTACCGAAGCACATGAGAGAGTTTTGTTAACAAATAACTGTGATGTAATTGGAAAAGTTCTACCATAAATATACGAAGTATAATTGTACTTAACTTTTTTAAATGAAAAGAGATATAGCATTAAAATACAAAACAACTTACTAGTTTTCTGAAAGACCTATTCTCACATTTAAGACTTTGTAATGGAACAGTGGTATTTGAACAGATATTTTTGCACTTGCATCAGAGGAAAATAAAGAATTGATTGTACAAATTCATGCTAGAAATGTAAATATACAATACAATAAAATGACCATCTCCTAAACATTAATAATATTTTTTTATTTCTCTACCATGGGTAATGCAGTTATAGTTGTTTTGTGGGAAATTATTTATATAGAATGCAAAATATTTTTAACTTTTTAAACAAAATATTTTCAACTTTTTATCTATGAATATTTGTATTTTGCCTTAAGAGTGAAAGGAATCGTGTTTAGTGAAAAAAAGATAGCCTTTCTTCATCAGATGGAATGGTTATGTTCCCCAAGGGCCCCACATCCACACGCTATTGAAAGGTACACTTGAATGGTCTTTAATATACTGGGAAAAGCAATATATCACTGTAACTTCTACCAAGATGTGATGACAGCTCTACCAAGAGTCTAACCTCTTATGTATTAATACTTACATAACTTTGAAAACCTTAGATAAATTAAAAGCACAAATTAAAGGATTTTGGTGCCAAAAGTTATCCTTAGATAACTTTTAATTTATAATCACTTGTGTGAAAAGAATTCCAACACTTTCACTCCCTGAAATCTACAATGCATAGGTGATCGACAGGAGTGCTTCAGTTATATTATATATATTCCAGTCTTCTGAATGAAAAAGCTAAAAGTCCAGACTTCCCCAGGCATGTTTTGTTTTCTAGCTTTGCAGAAAGAAAGCACAATCTGGAAGTGAAATGAGCCCATCGCTCATCCTCTGCCTAGAGCAGAATTCCACCTGCAGAAAGTGGGGCCAAGTGTTTCTAGCTTATAATGTGTTTTAATTATGTGAAAAGCAGAAGCCATTTCACCTACCTCCTCACAGGCGGTTCTGAAATCCATGTGCTATGGCACCTCAAAGGAAGTGATCTGAAAAGACAGTAAAGAGAAACTGTTTAGCACATTATCCAGGATAGCAGAGGACACTGCAGCGTGTAAGAAATTATGCAGCAGCTGCTATATGGAAACTGTTTACTAACCACCCATGGGAAACAAGAACTTCAGGGGAAGTGACAGAGGGAAAGGAGGGGATGAAACAGCCTTAGTCCTCGGCCATGTGGAGAGCAATCATGCTGTAGACATTAACTGGGAGGGGAAGGTGCCTTTCCATACACCGCTCCACGTCTGCAGGGCTTCACACAGGACCTGCGAGGCAGTTAACCTCTTCCCTCAGGCGTTTTCTCATTCCCAGCACTCATCTTGAAAGCTGTGTTTGTGAGTGGGAAAGAAACTCCAACAAGTGTAATTAAAAGTTGCCCTTCATCTGGTTCTCTCTTGAAAAATGGTTGACCAATCTTTCTCTTTTTAATTCAAAACATGCATGCATGAATAATTCTCTCTGGGACCTAAAATTATATTCACACTAGTATGATGTGGAGACGCAAGCTATTTATCAGAGTATGTAATATAAAGATAAATCAATGTGTGTGATATCATACAGATATTCACTTAGGGAACTCTGCAATACCTAAGCGATGAATATAAATTTAAATCACAGAATAAGATTTTTTTAAGAAATTCTTTTAGAGAGCTTTGTTTCATTTTAGGATAGATATAACAAAAGTAAAAGTTGTCACACAAATTGATACTCTTGTTCTATAAAACTCTACCCAGAGCCAAAATATAATGCTTATCTAAATGAGACTTCAGAGTAAAATATGTGATGAGTTTCAAAATAGAAAACTGTACTCCTCAAATATCAGTCCTTCTCTCAGCCTTGGGAAGGGTAAACCATTTTATCCCCCTCTGTCATTTGTTTGTTATATGAGACAAAAAATGCTTGATCAGGAAAGTGTGGTAAAATTGAGTGGGAAGTGTCACCCAAGCTGTCACTGTGTGGATGGATTATTACTGCTGGCTCTGAAGGAAAAAAGATTGGCCATTTTCAGTAGTAACAAACATGTCATATAGTAATATATGAAGGATTTTCCCCCGGTAAGCCTGGTGGACTGTGAATCTGATTTTACTTTCATTAAATTAATATGGTTATTCCTTTAATCTGGAAGTAGGAAATTTTCAGTATTTATTAACTATATAAACACAAGAGATCTCTAAAATGAAACTGCTGGTTTGAGTAATTGACCATAGAAGTAGATCTGAAGTTATTAACCAGTTACCTAAACTCAGCCTCATATTTAATTTCAGATGCTAAATTTAACGTTAGTGTATACATTTTTAAAGATGTGATTACTTCATAAAAGTATGACACATTTGAATAGAGGTTTTATCTGTGACATTATCATTTGAGCCATTCTCTTTCTTAAAAGATTAATCTTGCATTTAAAAGATTAATATGAGATTGAAAACATTTTACTTACTAATTTTACTTATTAGGTACCACAACGAATTTTTTTGTCCTTTTTTTTTTTTTTTTTTTTTTTTTGAGACAGGGTCTCACTATGCAGCTCAGGCTGGCCTTGAGCTCACTTTGTAGCCCAGGCTGGTCTCGAACTCACAACGATCCTCCTGCCTCAGTCTCCCAAGTGCTGGGATTACAGGTATGCACCACTGTGCCTGGCTACAACCACAATAAATTTTATAGCTACAATAACACTAATTTTATCAATGCCAAATTTAAACACTAAAATACATAGAATTATTTAAATTTGTTAACATTTTTGCAGTAATGTTTAGATTTACATAAAAATTGTGAAAGTAACAGTTTTTGTAGATTTCTTCTTTATTTCTCTTACTATTAATATCAGTGGATGGTACATAGGTTGCAATGAAAGGCGTATTGCTGCTATACGGCTACTGTTTAAGGACATAACTTTATTCATATTTTCTTTGCTTTTCGCTAGTGTCACTTTTTCTTCTCCCAGATCCCACCAGAGGCACCATATTATGTTCAGTCACCTTGTCTCCTCCAAGAGCCTCTTGGCTGTGAACAGGCCTCCAACTTTCCCTCTCTTTAAAGAAATTGGAGTTAAGTGTAACTGGTTAACAATTTGCATATTTTCTTTCAGTGTGATTACTCTAATTTTTTTCATACTAAGCCTGGAGTTATAGATCAGGTGGGAAAACACAGACTGAAGTATCATTTTTATCCCATGCAACTGAGGATACACACTGTTAATGCAACAACACTGCTAACTTAACAATGAGACAGAAGTAGTACTTGTCAGATTTCTCCACTGGATCTGTATTAAACTGAACATGCATTCTCAACGATGTCCCACTTCTAATATACAAATCCATGTACTGTTCCAATCTCCCCTTGCTTACTTATAAATGCCAGACTGGACAATGAGAAACTCACTCCCTGTAACTTCTTATTAAGACACTCAGCTGTGCAATTGCAGGATATGAGAATAGCCATATCAGCATCGAAAACTCATTCTCATATGGTGACCAACTATAGCAACTGTAGTAGTTTAATCTTTCCTCTTTAATCTTACAGGCTGCACACAGTACCACAACTTTTCATGTGAAATTGGGGAAGGGGCTCAGCAGTGCAACTCTTGCCTAGTATGAGCAAGGCCCTGTGTTTGAACTTCTTATAGTTTGTGTTTAAATGTCCCCCAAAGCCTTGTGTCATCATAGGTGGGGCTTTTCCAGAAGTGGCTGGATCGAGTGTATGTGATGCTGGGATTAAGGATGTATGATTACTAAATTAGTTCATGAATTGGTTTGGCAAAGTTCTGGGTGTGGATAATGGGAAGACACACCCTGAGTGTGAGTGCTACCCATCCTAAGGTACAGAGAGAAGGCTGCTGGGGCACTTGGTGCTTGATGCTTGCTTTTTTGCTGCTTTGCTGCCCTTCTGCCTTCTCCCCATGATGAACTGTTTTGCCTATGCGATGCCCCTCTGCCACTCCACCCATCCACCCAACTGTGACCTGAAATCTCTAGAAACTGTGAGCTCAATAAACCTTTCATCCCTTCACTTGTAGGGGTTGGATATTTTGTCTCAGCAATGAGAAAAGTAACTAAGACAATCCCTGGTACTACACACACACACACACACACACATTATGCCAAGTCTAGTGATAAATGAGGAGTGGCCACAAGCTCCCTCCTGATTTCCTTCCCATTGCGTGACGAGATCCAAGAATCCCATCCAGCCCCAGAACGATACATCTGGAACAGACCTCTCCCAGTGACCCACAAGAAGACTGGACAAGGCAGAGACTTTGCCTTTATTTTGAGCAGAGATGCTCGAGTCACACCACAGGCCTCTAAGCAAAATGAATACTGCATATTCATGGTGGTCAGCTTTACATGCCAACTTGGCTAAATTAGGATATCCAGTTATTCAATCAAATGCTAATCTGGATAGTGCTGTGAAGATGCTTAGTAGATGTGGTTAACATGTTCAGTAAGTTTGCTTTAAGAAATGGAGATTATTTTCACTCAGGTGGATGGATTTCTGCAAGTGATTTAAAAAACCTTGAAAGAGGTTTCTCTGAAGAAGAAATTGTATCTCAAGACAATAGCACTGACTTCTGCTTGGGAATTTCCAGCTTACTGGACAGTTGAAAGTTGTCAAAATTGCTAGTCATCATAATAGTGTTAGCTTCTAAATATGTACTACAGATTCCCTGGAGAAACAGACAAATACAGGTACACACGGATACAGATCTTCGAATCAGGAGTGGTTTTAAAGAAACAGAATCCTAAACATGAATTTGTAGACAGGATTCTGGGTTTCAGAATTGATTGTTGAACCTGTTTAGGTTCAAAGACACTAGAGACTACTTCTAGATTAATGAGAATATCACTAAACAAGAGCTAAGAGCTTTGAATTTCTAGCTAAAACGCTGTATAAATGATGTGACTGCTTTTATGCCTGTCTTAAAATAAATTCTAATCTCTTGTAGGTGCCAGACTGGGATTTTTAGACATTAACCTCAGAGTCTGATCCTTCCGGGGGCTGAATTACATCACAAATTAAATCCCCATTCTCAGAGGGTATCTTCAAAGAAATTGGTTAGGAAGAAACAGGATCTTAAATATCACAATGGAGCATTATGTGAAGACTGCAATGAAGGTGGGAGGATTGAGCCTGTGAAGGCTTCTGAGCTCTCCCTTTCACTGGGGTTCTGGTCTCCACTAAGTGTTTATCCTGTAAGACAATGTTCAGTGTCTTCCAGATCAAGCCGCTGTGCCCTTCTTCACATCCATCCCTGCAAGCAGACTCAAGTCCCCAAAGGACCCAAGCTATTAGGCACAAAGTTTGACCCAGGTGGTGGAAGAGACTTCAAAAAGATTGAATTTTTTTCAAGTGTGCACAGACAGAATTCTAGGGAATATGTGGTCATGGATATTAATGATGAAAAATTATGATGGAAAAAGTATAGGTTTGGATCAAGCTAAATTTATTGATATTCCTTCATAAGAAGAGATTCTGGATTTAATGATGAGGCACTGGGAAGAACTCTAACAGTTTTCCCAGTCATTTTACTTAAATATAAACCCCAAATACCCTACATTAATTGATACTGAAATGCCTGAATTGTCTTGAAATATTACAGAGAAAAGCAGCAAAGACTTAAGCGTATTGGAACTTTAGAAAACTTGTATCATAAGCAAATCACTCAGTCACCTTGGAAAGATTCGGCGGACACACCTTTAATATGATTGTGAGGAATAAATGTGCAGAGATACTAACACTGTCAAGGAGCTCTCTAGTCACTTTCTTCTGTTAGGTGTAATGTACAGAAAGAACGGCTGCCCCTGCCCTCGGGTCCTCATCTGCAGTGCTACTATTGGATCCTGGGATGCTGGGCATGACTTGGCAGCCTGAAATCACTAAAGACAAGGAAGAGTTACATTAACTGATGGCAAGGTCAAAGTACTCGTCAGAGCAATTTGACTTTGGGAAGTATAAAATACGGATAGTTTGATTATTTGCATCAAAAGTGAATTAC